ATTTGGATTCAAATATGGAGATAATAATTGGCAAATTCCTTATGATTATTTCTCATTTAAATGAAGTGCTGAGGATTGTTAATCAACTAAAAGAACCAGGGCCAATTTCACAAAATGAGGGAATATATATGTTTACACAAACACAAAATGAGGTTGGTATATTTCAAATGCAGTATCTGCTCACAGGAGCTTTGAAAGCACAAAACCCGAGGTATAAGGGTAAAAGTTTCCCAAGTGCTTTCTTATACTATTGACAACAGAGGGCAGTTACCTCATCATTAAGACAGTTTTATTCGGTTTTTATTTGGGGACTACCCCAAACATCTACAACAGTGCTGAAAAATAGATGCTCATAAGTATTTTGTTAGTGTTCAATGTATTGGTCACGAACACCCAGAAAAAGCCAAAGGAGGCTTTTATCATCACAAGATACACAGGCAGTCCCTTCAGAGAAAGATCCTTGAAAAAAATCAAGCAGGTTCCACAGCCACAAAATAAATGCAATATACAAAAAACTGAATAGATAAAACCCAATATAATGGAACAAAGTCTCTGATATCAAGGGATGTGCATTGTAATTTCAACTCCTATGCCTACCATCTCTTTTCCTCTGCTTTCTTTTTCTGTTCAGAGCATGAAACCAGATCTCAAAGGTTGAAAAATTTGACATCTGTCTCTCGAGGCATATTAATTTCTTAACTGTAGTCGTTTTTGACTTGGGTGGGTTATCCATCACAGAAAGCCTTACAAGCATGAGGAGGGCAGATGATTTAATGATCTCTCACTAGCTTGTAAACCTGACTATGAATTCAGAGAGAGAAATGTGAAGAGGGTAGAAATTTGGCTGAGGTAACTGCTGTGTATCAGTCAGATGATGATGTTCAAATCAAAAAGAGGCAGAAAACAGTGAAAGATGTGATGAAGGTGTGGAGTAGAATGGATGGGCAGCTTTCAAGGCCCATTCCAGGCAAGATGTAAGATTTTTGTTTCACACACACACACACACATACACACACTCACATGGAATTATATTTATTACAAACTTTACACAGAATAATTGGTAGAGATAATACTAAAAATGCTCTTACCACCTACTGGTTTCAATCAATATGAAAATCTGACTTTTGGATCCTTACACCTGTATTGTAAATAATTCATATAAAATTTACACATTCAAATATTGCCTGGATTTTTAATTTTATATATGTTACTTTTATAACCAATCTTTAAAAACTTTTGTACATTTGTTATTGTACAACTTAGGATCCCTGACACTAACACATTCTATTCATTCAAAGTTAAATATTTATTCATCTATTTATCTCTCCTCTGTGTTTAGATAGACTACTATTGGCCTCTTTTAACACATGCATCTATGTGATTTATATCATGAAATTTCTGTCTTTATTTGCCTCAATATTTTATTTTCTTCACAACCTTTATTAAACAAATGCTTCATTTTATTTTATCGGACTTGTTATATATTTACGTATAAATTTAGATCTTTCTGGAGTATCAATTCAACATCAATTGTATAATTTCTTCCTAAAACTTTTCTTCTGTATTATTTGTGCTCTGAAAATCATGCAATTTTATTGTTTAAACCATCTGAATGGAAATTTTCTTTTATTTTTGGCCACACCTTTTTTTTGGTTTTTGATTAAAAAAATTGCAATTTTTGAAGTAGATATCTGAGAAGATACTTCTGAGTCTAAATCCTGGGAAAGGTTTGATGTGCTCATTCCTTGCTTTTTTTTTCAACTCATGACTTTTTAAAATTATTTCACTGAGGTGAAATCCATTAAGTATAAAATTAACCATTTTAAAGTGTACAATTCAGCGGCATTTATTCATTCACAAGGCTCTGCCAAACACCACTTCTCTCTAGTTTCAAACTTTTTCATCACCCTAGAAGAACATTCTATTCTTATTAAGTAATGACTCCCCATTTCCCCTGCCTCCATCTACTAGCAACCACTAAGCTGTTGTCTGTCTCTATGGATTTGCCTGTTCTGGATAATTCTTATGAAAGGAATCATACAATATGTGACCTTTTGTGTCCACCTTCTTTCACTTAACATGATGTTTTTGGAGTTCATCCACATTGTGGCATGCTATTAGTACTTATTCACTCTTATGGGTGAATAATATCCTATTGTAAATATAAAGCACATTGTGGTTATCCATTCATTCACTGGAGGAAATCTAGATTGTTTCTACTTTTTGACTCTTAGGAATAATGCTGCTATAAACATTTGTGTACAAGTTTCCATGTGAACATATATTTTCACTAATCTTGGATATATACCTGAAGGCGGAATTGGTGGGTCACATGGGAATTAATTCTGTGTTTAACTTTTCAAGGAACAGCCAAACTACTGTCCCTGGAGGTTACAAAATTTTACATTCCCACCAGAAATATATAAGGGTTTCTATTTCTCCACATCCTCACCAACACTTATTTCTTGTCTTTTGTTTTGTTTTATTTTATTATTATTATTAGAGCCATCCCAGTGTGTGTGAAATGTATTTTATTGTGGTTTTTATTTGTGTTTCTTTAATGTCCAAGGTTGTTTCATATCATTTTATGTGCTTGTATTCCATTTGTATACTTTCTTTAGGAAAAAAAAGTCTATTCAAGTTCTTTGCCCCTTTTTTAAAAATCTAGCTTTTGGTTTTTTTGTTTCTGAGTTTTAAGAATTCTTTATTTAGTCAGGATATTAAATCCTGATCAGATAAACAATTTGCAAATATTTTCTCCTGTATGTAGGTTGTCTTTTCACATTTTTGATAATGTGCCTTGAGGAACTACAGTTTTCCATTTTAATGAAGTCCAATTTATTTATTTTTGCATTGTTACTCATGCTTTTGGTGTCCAATCTAAGAATCCATTGCTAGATCTAAGATGGTATTTATCATATTTTTCTCCTAACAGCTTTACAGTTTTAGATTTTATATTAAAGTTTTGTATCCATTTGTGTTCATTGTTATATCTGGAGTGAGGTAGAAGTCCGACTTAATTCCTTTGAATGTGGTGATCATCAAGCTGCTGGTATCCTTGCTGAAAATCCCATAAAATGTTAACACATTTGATGAAAGTCAATTCACCATGAATGTTTGATTTTGTTTCTATCCTGATTTTATTCTATTGATCTATATGCCTATCCTTATCACACTACCACACTGTTTTGATTAATGTAGTAAGTAATGTACTACGTTTTGAAACTGGGAAGTGTGAAGTCACCAACTTTGTCTTTCTTTATCAATATTGTTTTGACAATTCGGAGCCTCTTATAATTCCATATGAATCTGAGGGTTGGCTTTTTCCATTTCTGCCAAAAAAGGCCACTGGACTTTTGACAGGTACCGAATTGAATCTATAGATCTCTTTGGGGATTATTCCCATTTTAATAGTACTGTTTTCTAATCCATGAACATGGGATGTCTTTCCCATTTAATGAGGTATTTAACTAGGTATTCTTTAATTTCTCTCGGCAAAATTTGGTAGTTTTCAGTGGAAATGTTATATAACATGTATTACATGGCAGGCATTGTTATAAAAGTTTTACATATTTATGCCTTCAGAATACTAAAATGGGTTGCTATAGCCTGTAAGATAAAGGTACATTGTATTAGCATGGCTTACAAGGCCGTTCTCATCTAGGCCTCAAACTACGATTCTGTCTAATGTATCTACACTGACACTGAAACAGCTCACTGTCACTGAACACACTAAGTGCTCTCATCCCTTGATGTTACTGCACAATCGACTTTTTAGGTTAGTATTTTTACCCCATCTCATCTGAGAAACTCCCACTCATCCTTCAAGCCTTAAGCCCAATAACTTTAACTGAAGTTACTCATTTAAAATAAAGCTTTTCAGAGGGGAGTTGGGTGGGGGGAGGGGTGAAATAGGTGAAGGGGATTTAGAGGACACTTATGACGATCACTGAGTACTGTAGAGAATTGTTAAGTCACTATATTGTACCCCTGAAACTAATATAACACTGTATGTTGAATACACTGGAATTAAAATGAAAAAAAAAAAACTTAAAAGAAAGAGACTTAGCTCAAATGTTAACTAAGCTACTTAATCAGTTCTCTTGTTCTCTTGTTAACAACTTGTATGTACCTCTTGTATAACCCATTAATCTGTGTTGCCATTATCTTTTCTGCCTATTCTGTTGCCCTCCGCTATACTTAACTTCTTGAATGTAGGGACTGTATTTTACATGTATTTGAGCTCTAGGGCTTGGTGCAATATACAACAGACCAGATTCTCAATAAAACTCACCTAAATGAATGAGGGTACCAAACACAAAAAGACAATCTGCTTTGCACAAAATGTGCTCAGCCTAGTTCATTCATCTGAAAAGCAGTCATTTCCCTGCATGTTTTTTTTTTTTTAAGATTTTATTTATTTATGAGAGAGAGTGCGCATGGGGGGGCGGGAACTGAGGGAGAGGCTGAATCCCGCCCCCTGCATGGTTTGAATCAAGAGAATTAGCTTTGTTATTAAACACACTAGTGGTAGTGAATGAGGGGTTTCTTTCTCTTCTTCCCTTTCTCTCTCTAACCTAAAATACAAATGTCATCTTTGTCCATCTAAAAACAAAACAAAGCAAAAGAAAAAACCATGGAAAGTCTAGAAATATGGTACTTTTATACTCCAACTCAAAACCTCTAAGAATATTCTCCTTATACTCACATGAAGACAAATGATGGAAAGCAAAATGAAAAGAGGAGCAAAACAGAAAGAAGACTGAATGTATTTCCAGAAGATATGAAGAGTATTTCTATCTCTTATTAATAATGTGGCACTGACTCTGTATTTTGCCTCTCTGAGCCTCAGCTTCCTCATCTATAAGGTGGAGCCAATATGCCCTGCCGCACACACCACAAATTACTGGTGTGAGTATCGAGAGAGAGAATTCTTTTGAAAGTATGCTTGCTACAAAACATAATGTGCTACACAAAAGAGTGTGTAGCTATTCACTCACCGAACACAGTTCTTGCAGGCACAGATTCTCTGTTAAGCCAGAATGACACTTGGGAGAGAATGACAGTCATGATGCAAGGCAGATATGTCTGAATCACAAAATACCCAATTTTTCTTTTCAAGTGGAAATGAGCTGTCATTACGGTATATTCACCTAGAAGAAAAATTTAAGAAGCTTAAGGAACTGTAATAGTCAATAGTTTGAACATTTTAGAAATGGAACAGATTTGAGAAGAACAGTCCCTGATTTAAGAAAAAAAAAATTATCACATATACAACATGACAAGTATAAGCCTTTAAATGCCTCTTTAACACAGCAAAAATATTTAAAAGAGAATTTTAATATTACCAAGAAACTTGCACTACAAGTCCAAGGTACATTTGTTTTTCTCTCCAGGTCATGCCTACTGACCAAGGAGATATACGATTCGCAATGCTCTCTGACCATGAATTATCTTACTTGCTCAGATCTCTCATCCCTACTGGTACCAATTTCAAGACTCTGATTTGATTGTTCTAACTCCCTGGCTTTTTAAAGTGTCAGTCTCTGGCCACATCTCTAAGATTGGGTCAGGCTTTTGGCCCAGATTTTCCACTTTTGACCCTGTCACCAATTCTGAATCTCTCAATGTTGTATGTCGACTCTAATTTACTGCCGTCATTTCTATCCGATCCTAAGAGCTACTTTCCTTTCTGCTATCTGGGGTTACATCTGCCAGAGGTAAAATCATTAGTTCAACATGGCGGCTTTTTCTTAGACGAGTGTGGCCCTTAGTAAGGGCACCAGCTCTCCCACACAAGCCAGTAGTAATGATCCATAAATCAAGAGTTGAATAGTCACAAATTATCCAGAATAGGAGGAAAAGAATTAGAAAACTAGGAAAACTGTGACACTGTTTGAAGATAAAATTGGCTTGTCTGCAAAGTCACACATTTTTGAATTGACAGTATATTTTAGACCACTGTTTCTCAAACTTTCTGCAAACCTCCTTGGAATCTTGTTAAAATGCATATCTTGACTTAGTAAGGGGTCAGGTCTGACACTGTAAATATCTAAAAAGCTCCTACAATCTATGCTGCTAGTTCTTGGGCCCCAAGAACAAAACTTTTTAAGCACACTAACATATTTCAGTGACTTCAACCCATCACTTTTCTTAGAAACTAGTTTAAGAATCATTTTACTAACCTGTACTGGATTTAATTGTTTCCTTTCCAATTGATTGGCCCAGCAGATCATACTGATTTAATCTGGAACCATCGGGAGCAACTTGTACTGAATCAGATGCATTATAAGTCCAAATATAAGTGACCTCTGAGGTTGTATATGCATCTGTGGGAAGTCAGAAAAAAAGAAAAATACTCAAGCACTTTAGTAGGAACCATCAATAAACTGCAATATCAAAGGTTATATATTGCATAGGATCACTATTTATTATAAAAATTGGTATTTACAGATCATATTTTGTAGAGTAAAAAATATCTTTGAAATCTGCCATTTTCAATATGAAGACTGTGAAGTGGACCAAGAGAGAAAATTATGACCATAGAGCATTTCCATTGCAACTACTTTGAGAAGTGAACAGAAAATTTCTCTTCGGAGTCTGCAAAAATCACTGGGCCCTGAGATGGTTAAAACGTCCTCCATAGTACCAAGGTAGTAGATGAAGACATTGTAATACACAGGTTATAAACGCCTAAAGCCCACCTAAGTGGTTTATTTGGAAATAGCAATCATTCATGAAATAACATTTATAATTCAAAATGATATCACTCTCTGGACATAAAAAGCTTATTATCATATGAGAATACTGATGAAATGCATTGTATTTATTTTAAGTACTATTTTTGTAGTTCATTTTGTAAGTTTTCCTTCAAAACCTTCACCTAGTTAAGAATTAAATGACTTACCTATCATGATACAATGCATTCCATAATAAGAATGAGAACTAATTATTGCAAAACATGTAAAATAAATCAGAATGCTATAGTTTCATCAAGATATAAATACTCCTTAAAACATGTTCATTTTAAAATTAATGCACACAGACCTCACTGGACTATACTTTCACAGCATCCCAGTTATATACTGGCAGGAGACAAAACACATACAGACCAGGTAGAACGTTCTGATTTATCTGGCCAAAGATGTAGAACTTAGCAAAAGTTAGATAATTCTAGCACTGGAGGGCAGGCAGCATATCTCGTCTTAGCCATTCTCTCGCTCTGGTATTTCCTTTATGCCTGTCCCAGTGGGAAACAGCTGACCTCTCCATGTGGGAAGTCTCTCCACAGCTGAATTAACAGACAATTCTTGCTATATTACTGACCTTTTGAAGAAATTCTATGTACTTTTGCTCATGGGAATGTTTAAAAGTATTAGTTACTCCTGGTTCTTGAGCAAAACTCAACATCACAGTTACATTCTCAATTGAAAGAGAGAAAGGACTAGATGTCTCCAGCAGTATCTCTGCCCCTAGATCTCCAGGACTCTGGAAAGTTCATTTACCGGCCATATACAAGTTTTCTAGTTTGATAATGTTGTTCTGGGGTGGCCCTGCTACTTACCTTGATCCAAGATCTACGGACCAATTCACACTTAAGCATCAGTCACAATAAAGTGAAAGTTTATGAGTTTGTGTCTTATTTGTTGTGTGGTCTTTTAATGATATACTACAATGTTGTCTGGTTTCTGCATGTTACTACTAAATGTTCATATCAGTGAAATACTGCTTTCATTATACACATATTCACCTATATCCATAATTAAATTATATTCTGTGAAACAATTTTTGAAAATAGGACTCTAAAAATATGTAGATGTGTATCTTTATATATGTGTGTGTGTATATATATATTTTTTAATAGCAGATATATTCCTATAGTTTGCATATGAATGAATTCTAGTTACTCTAAGGTCTAAATTTGTATTAATTTCAATTATTTAATCATTGATGATGCTACTGCTATGATTAAATAAGGGAGATTAGTAATGTGGATACCTAGCAATCCATTTGCACATTATCAAGTGGCTTGTTTTTTTTTTCCTATGAATACACGTTAGTAGTTGTGAATATTAATAAATCATGAACTTTTCTTAAGTATAATGATTCCACTTTTTAAATTTGATGTTTATTTTTAAAGATAAAGAAAATGAAACCCTACAAATGCAGGGACATTTTTAAGAAACTAGTGAGACACTGAGGGGCAGGGACTCTAACTTGTCCATATCTACACTGCTTGCACGTGGCACAGAGCCTGTCACCCAGAAAAAGTTCTCAGTTTGTTTTTGCTAGATTAATCAATAAACTCATAATATTTTGATTATGTTATTTACTTTTATGGAAGTTGGAAATCTGCATAGGAGCCCAAGAATATGCTAAAGAAGGTGACTGACACTCCCCATGTCTTTTATGAAAAAGCAATTATAGCATTTCATTAGTTAGATAAGAATATGTTTTTTAGATTTTGAGTCTAGTAAGAGAAGACAGAGCAGAAAGTCATGCAGCTTAGAGGCACTCCTGATCTACCAACACACATATAAACCAAGAGACCACTGCAGTGTTTTTCAGTAAAGTATAAAGGAGAGAAAGATAGTTTGTTTTACAAATTTCACTATAAATTCCATCTCTAAATTAAATTTTCATTAAATAATTTAATTCTGTTAAATAACCCATTTTTGAATCATAATCTGCATTAAACATCAAATGCATACTGACTGATTCTTAGTATTTGGTAACCAGAAAAAAAAATCCCCAAATCATTTTTAATTATTAATTTTCAACCCAAAAGATGATTTACAATTTCTTTTGGAGGACTAATACACAGAATACATCCAGACTCCCTTTTAGGAACTTTTAAATCATGTTAAACAGCAAGAAAATATATGAAGATGTGAGGCAAGAGAAATAAAGCAAAACAAAAATGAATTCAAAACTATAAACTTATACAAAAGATGCTTCTTTAAGAACAATGATAAATTTCCAGAAATTCTATCATTTTAGGGGGCTTTTAAGCAAGAGAGGAATAAAAGACTAGAAGAAGACGCCATGGCTGCTTCTGCCAAAATCTGTTGGGCCAACATTTTAAGGCTTGGGTTGGCTTGTTAATCTATTATACCATGCTTAATGCCCATACTTTTTTGTTTTGTTTTTGTTTTTTTGAGAGAGAGAATGAACGAGGGGGAGGGGGCAGGGAGAGAGAGAGAGAATCTCAAGCAGGCTCCACGCTCTGTGAGGAGCCCTGAGGTAGAGCTTGATCTCAAGGCCTGGAGATCATGACCTGAGCTGAAATCAAGAGTCAGACACTTAACCTACTGTGCCACTCAGGTGGTCCTTAAAGTCCATACAACACGTATCAACCACTTACTACTGGCAAGGATAAATAAAAGAATATACAAATCAAATTGTTTATTCAATGTGTCGGAAAATAAACATGAAGAAAATGAAATAAAAAGCAATTACTTAGAGAATGCCTAACAATAAACTTTGCATGTTGTCTATATCACTTCTAGATACAGAAAGTCACGCATGCAGTATTTCATTGCTCTGTAGATACACTACAAGGGATTTTTAAATTTTATTTAAAATATTTTCAGGCATATTTATTTCATATTCAGAATTAAGACATCACATCATTTATATTTGGTGCCTTAATGGCACTAACTTGTCCAGTGAAAAATCCCTTTCCTTTTTATACCAATCCTGCAGTTTGAATAAATCCTTTCATTGGTTATCAAGGCTTTTCAATTTTCTCTTTAATGCCATTTATGTGATGCAAATGAGTTTTTCTCTGCTGCATCTGCTGTAGCTTTTTCTGCATCATGTTTACGTCATATAACATGACTGACTATGTTAAATAATTTTGGGGAAAATGCCAGTATTGAAGTGATGGTTCCCATGACAATAAAAGAAGGTTTTGTAGTTAAACAAAGAAGAGATTCTCAAAGAAAATTGAGAGCTCACACCTTTTGTAAGAATGAACAGAACCAACAAGACTGAACTTCTCATTCCACAAAACTATGGTCATCAAAATAATTAGAGGAGTTTGCATTCATCTTAGCCATCATTCTTATTTTCTTTCACTTGATACCAGTCTGTGGGGTGAAGGCACCTATTCAATCATACATATTTTTAACCAGGTGAGGGAACTGCATTTCTGTTCAAGTGAATGAAAAGTCAAAAGGTGCCCCGAATGGATAGAGATGTGGATACCAGAAAGAGCAAGGTTTCTGTAAAGGTCAGGTGATGGGACAAGCTAACACCAGAGAGAAGCTGCTGTAGCTCTGTCCATGAATTTACTGTGAACCTGCCCTAAGTGTGGGCCTACGGAGATGATTTGACCTCCCCTCTTTTCAATTATTCCAAGAGAGTGAATGCTTCTGCTTGACATATAAGATATAACCTCAGTGACCTAGAGAATGGCCAAATGCACAGAGCCTTTTCTGAAATATTTTATGTAAGCAGAAGAGGCCTGCACATAGCTGTCCAGTTACATCATCTCCTTAAAATTTATTTTAGAAGATTAAAAAAAAAAGTCCTTCCATTAGTTGGAAAGTAGGAAGATAATCGCACAGAGCCAGATTCTGTGCCTGCCATTTGCAACAGGTTGATTACTACCCTAATAAACAATACCATCTATCCTTTACAGTTCATTCTTGGTTACAAAAAAAAAAAATGTATCTTGCATTTTTAAGATGCTAGCCTTGGAAAAGAAGGTAAATGACATGGTCTTGACCTTCACAAGAGCTCCTGGACTACCTTTCCCCATGTATAAAAACACATGATGTTCTTTATTAGCAGTAACGTTAAGTGATAATTTAAACATCATGATTAAAATATAATGATATTTGAGAGTGCGATAGGGCTAGCCAATTAGTTCCTTGAGGGAAATCAGCAAGTCTTTTAGTTCAATATCTTTTTTGGGGGCAAATATTAAGCATTCCATAATATTAGAAGAAACTACACAGGTAAGCAATGCTGCTGATTATCCCTTGATTTTACAGACCCAAAATATGTAACTTCACCCCCATACTTACAGCTGCCAAATTTCAGAGGACATGAATGAGCATCCATAGGAAAATCCTCCAAGTGCATTGGACATTCAGCTTGAACCGTAAGCCTAAAAGCAAAAATTTCACTCTTTAAGTAAATTGATAAGTCAAGATAAATCACTCCTTACTGTTCTCAACAGCATCAGGGATGAGGTAGGACCTTCATTGTAACACTGTATTAGGCTAATTCACATTTAAATGTGTTTGTTCTTTCATATTTAGGTGATCCTTCAGAAGACAGTAGCATATAAAAAATTGAGCTCAAATAACAATATTTATTTACAAATATACTTAACATTTGGAACTCTGGTTTGTTAAGAAGAGGTTTTTTTTTTTATTAAGAAGTAAAGAAGTTATATACGCATTTTTGAAGGGCTATTTTCACATTAACATTCACTATTAACATTCGAAATCCTAGAGAAAAAAAAAACTCTACCATGAAAGAATGCTATTTTTCTCCCTCATGTCATCAGCAACCATATAGGAAAATTGATATAAGAATTCGATACTAGCTCACAGGAACTCCCTCCAAAAATATGTCAACTGTGAATGAGTATCACATACTGTATGCAGGTACATGGATTTAAATATAGAAGTAGATATAGATAATGTATAGATGTGCCTCTTAGAAATATCTGCTTAAAACTAGATTATTGACTAAATTATGGACACAAGTTACATATTGTTAAATAAATATTTTTTCTGTATCTATAAGATCACATTAAAGAATAATCATAGCAAAAAAAAGATTAATCATAGCAAACTTGTTATAAAGACAGTCATAATTATTCCATTTCACCCACAGGTAAAATGGATAGAAATGGTATTAAATTGAACTTATAGAAGACTCTTATGATGAGCAAAACAAATGTGGCCAAAAATTTAATTATAATTTATATAATTCTAAGGCAGTATGTAAGTAGAACTCCATGCAATATTTTCCAAAACTGTGTTCTCTGCCAACATTTTTTTTTTTAAGATTTTATTTATTTGAGAGAGAGAATGAGAGAGAGAGAGTACAAGAGAGGGGGGAAGGTCAGAGGAAGAAGCAGACTCCCCGCTGAGCAGGGAGTCCGATGCGGGACTCGATCCCGGGACTCCAGGATCATGACCTGAGCCGAAGGCAGTCGCTTAACCAACTGAGCCACCCAGGCGCCCCCAACATTTTGTTTTTTAAAGCCAAAATTTCCATCATTGTCTTAATCCACAGGAATATTCAAAGTGTAAAACCAACAGGGATACTGCATCTGTATTGTAAGATTCAGAGAGGGAGGCAAAGAATAGCTAGCTCTTTTATTTTAGGCAATTTCATTTAGTAATGAGTCCTTAAGAGTTTTTTCTTTAAAGATCAAGATTGTATTTTTGCCCCTTCTTAAATAACTTACACAAATGAAACCCACCACCTAACATTTCATATGAAATAATAACACATCAAATGCCTAGAACACATGTCTAATCTATATTTAATGCTGATAGAAGTTACCCATGCTTTAAAGCCTTTATTAAGCATTTAAATTTTAGATTACACATCACTTTATTAGATTTGTGATTGTTTTTTCTTACATAAGTAACTTATTTTTTTTAAATTTTTTATTGTTATGTTAATCACCATACATTACATCATTAGCTTTTGATGTAGTGTTCCATGATTCATTGTTTGTGTATAACACCCAGTGCTCCATGCAGTACGTGCCCTCCTTAATACCCATCACCAGGCTAACCCATCCCCCCATCCCCCTCCCCTCTAGAACCCTCAGTTTGTTTTTCAGAGTCCATCGTCTCTCATGGTTCGTCTCCCCCTCCGATTTCCCCCCTTCATATATACATATATATATATATATAAGTAACTTATTTTAAAAGCTTAATTCATGAGAAGAGTTAAATGGAATAGCTGCTACACTATATAAATATACAATCAACAACTGTATAGTTCTTTAATTTTTAAAAAATATTTAATTTATTTATTTATTTATTTGAGAGAGAGAGAGAGAGAGAGAGAGCATGAGTGGGGGAGAGGCAGAGGGAGAGGGACAAGCAGACTCCCCACCAAGCTGGGAGCTTGACACTGGGCTCCATCCCAGGACCCCAAGATCATGACCTGAGCCAAAGTCAGATGCCTAACCAACTGAGCCAACCAGGTGCCCTTCTTTAGATAATTTTTTAAAGGTTCAATCATATGAAATTTATGCTACATACTATTTCACTTATGAAATGGCAATTTATATTGTTCAATCTAATATATATGCTTTGGTACTTGTAAACCTTATTAAATAAAAACTACCTCTTTAAAAAAAGTTTTTTTTTCTTTAGATTAACTTTATAAGGAGGATCAAAATATTAAGTAAAACCTTGCTTAAATCACTTAAAATTTTGATGGCATATCTGATGAAATATTAAAAATAAAATTACATGATGGTATAAAGGACATTTTAAATCATGATATTCAAGCTGTACTTAATTAAAATAGTAGCATGAAAAAGAAATAGCCAAAAACAATCAATTCTTAATAGTTACGGCAATGCTTAAGTTTTAACACTAAGATGAGAATCAATCTCATAAACACTATTTTTTTTTTTTGAGAGAGAGAGAGAGCGTGTGTGTGCACGAATTTGCATGAGTTGGGGGGAGGGGCAGAGGGGGAGAGAGAGAGAGAGAAAATCTTAAGCAGGCTCCACACCCAGCACAAAGCCCAACATGGGGCTGAATCTCGAGGCCCTGAGATCATGACCTGAGCAGAAATCAGGAGTCACATGCTTGACTGACTGAGTCACTCAGGCGCCCCTATTTTATCATATTTTAATATCCAGGGATTTACAAAGCATGCTATGGGTACCTCAATAATAATCTGTTATAAAAATGTTCAATTTGTGTTAATACTTGACAGCTAGGTTGGCTGGTTGTTTAATACATGGATTTCTCAGTATTTAAATGCAACATATCAAACCTGAAAACATACCTCATTGTGTACAGCAGGGTCCCATCATCCTGGATTCGAAGAAGCTTATTTGGCATTGTCATATTATGAGCTACTGATTTTTTCCCATTGTGAAAGAAGGTATCAGGAGTCCAGATTTTGCTAGCCATTAAATTGTTAAGTCGAAGAATGTTCATAGGACCTTTAAATTTTAACCGTTCATCTTTCCATTTTTGTCGGAAGAAAACATCAATTGTATATTCCTGAAATATAAAACAGAATTCTTTGGAAAATAATAAATGCTTCAAATACAAGGTCACTATAAAATTCCAACAAAAATAATAATAAAAATAATTTAAAAAGAGAGATTACTGAGATAAATTTTGAAAGATTATTTATCAAGAAAGGTTGTCACTTACAATGAGATTAGCATGTGTGTTTACACAGTTAGCTACATATTATAAAAAGAAAAGAATAAATCTACTTTACTCTGGCTTCTTTCAATTGAACAAGGTCTTAAACTGCTTTCCTGTATCCTATAACTTACAAGGGGAGCATGCTTGGGAGCAGGGTCTTGGTGGTTGTTCTAAGTAGTTTATCTCAAGAAAGAGTAAGCAGGCAGCCTTCTCAGTAGCCAAAAAAAAAGAAGGAAAAAAGAAACAACTATTAAACATACTGTCAAATCTGTATGAGTCATCATCTGCTGTTCCCAAAGTAACTACAAAATATCGTTATTTCTTTTTCAATCCTAAAAAATGGTGAGATACCGTATTGCTAGCAAGACAGTATTAGGGAATGATAATTTCAGTAGAGTTTATTTTATTAAATTAGTTGTAATAAAAATACTTAGACAAGTTAGTGTAATACTTAAAATACAAATATTTTGCAAATAAATGCCCTCAGGTTAAAAAGTACTTTCAACTATTCATACAGATGAGCTAGGGTCCACTCCCCTCTTACCACCGTCCAACACTTTAGGGTAGTAGCTTAATCAATCAATGTCTCTTTCTCACCTCTTTCTCTTCTCATTCCCCTGCTCCCTGCCTTCCTCTCTCTCTCTCTCTTTCTCTCTCTCTCTGTCTTAGAAGAGAATGTATACATTTTAGACAAGAGGTACAATTCACAATTGTGATTAATACTGACAATCTATTAGATATTAAAATTTTTGTCAATGTGTGTTTGTGCACTCACATGATAGATCACCAAAATATTCAATTACACACCTGAGAATGGAAATTCAGAAACTTTCCTTTGAGCCCAAAGCCACAGTCATCACCTTTGAAATAAACACCGTAGCAAATGGCAATTTCATTCAACTAAAATTATGCATATAAAAAAGGACAAATTAAAAAGGCCATATACTTATGAAAATATCAAATTATTTGTACAAACTTTAAGTAAACGATTCCAGTGATCTCTCAAAAAGTGAATAGATGAAGAGAATAACTATCAGCCATAAGCCATGACATATGAACAGGCAATAAGCAATGGTTCGGGGCTGTGTCCCTGATCCTTAGGAGACAATTTCATGATTGAATTGACACACTCTCAGTGGTTTAGTCCTATTTTAAAATGTTTAATTCCTTATAGATATAACACAGTTTTTAAAAAACATCTAGATTAAGAGAAGAGTCTTCTAAGTTTTTATGCAAGTGTTTCTTTCCAACTATGGTTTCTTCAAATCCAAGCCTAATCTGAATCCATGAGACATTTATTTCTCCAGGAAAATTGAATGCATTTTACAACTTTTGATAAAACATCAAACTCAAATGTTCCATTTCTATAAAATTATGATAGGTTTTATCTGTTTCAGAAGCTGTTGCTAAGGCAATCATTTCCTGCAGACTTACCCCATAGGAGATATGCAAGGTTTATAAACAGGAAGTTTCAGGCAAGATCTTTTGAAAAAGTGTTTTCAGGAACCCTGTTTCCGAGCATCCATGGTGTCCTGAGTGTGTCTGTCAACCTATTGAGAATGATCTGTGCCTTTTTCTCCCCCATCCACTCCAACCAGGCACTCACGTTGTGTTGTAAGCAATTTGAACAATCTCCACTTCTTACCATTTCTCACCTAAAGCACGTTTCCTACCTACCTGAGTCAGGAACTACTCACAACCACACTCCCAGTCGTTCAAACATCCAGAAAATACATAGCCAGATGTCTGTGTATCTGCCTTACTCGTAAAGCCTTCTATTACTGTAAGATACCATGCTGCAATTGTATGTTTGTTCCTCTGCCTCCAGACAAGCTTGCAAATCTTCACAAAACGACGCACCATGGCTTTCATTTGTGTATTATCTTAGATAGTTTTCAGACATGTATGAGAGTATAAAGATTATCATAAACATCTTGGAACCATTGCCAGTAGAAATGCCATCACAAATATTACTGAAGCCTTCTCTCTCATTTATTCCTCCTCAATCACATTCCCTTAACTCTCTGGGAAAATAATTACCTTGGATTTGGTGTTTATCATTCCTGTACATGTGCTTAAATATTTATCACATAAATATATGTCTTTCTAGATCACATTTTCAACATTTATGTAAATGGTATCACATATTGTGTATACTTTCCTGACCCTGACTTTTTTAGTTACATTATTACAATTCATTCATGGCAATCTATCTAGTACTTTGATTCATCTTCATTGCTACACAGTATTATCTTTTAAGAATATTTCACAATATTCATCCTTTTTCTATGTTCTTGATTTTTTTTTTCTACTTCCAATCTGTCACTATAGCAAGCAATACTGCTATAAGCATTATTATACTACACTTTAGGGCAAAGACCTAAGAGTTACTCTAAACCAGAGCAAACTTTCTCCGTAAGGGGTCAATTAGTAAACACTGTGGGCTTTACAGGTCGTCTGGTATCACAACCACCCAACTTTGCTACTGTAGTGTGAAAAAGCCTTCACTGATGATACATAAATGAATCAGAGTGGCTGTATTCCCATAAGTCTTTGTTTATAAAAATAGATAACTGATAGGATTTGGCCCATGGACCACGGTATGCCACCACTGCTCTAGAGTAAATCTTCAAGTGGGATTACTGGAATGTAATCCAGTAATCCAGCCTCAACATAACAAGATATTTTCAAATTGAAATCCTAGAGGTCTATACACATGAACTCTCTTGTTCCTCTACAACTTGATATAAATATAAATAGAATATTTCATTTTAGCCATTATGATTAGTGTGACATGGCTGATATTGCTACCATTTGGATTTCTCTATTGACTAGTGAAATTTAGCACATTTTCATATATTTATTAAACACTCTACTTTTTTATGAAGAGTCTGTTTATTTCATGTACTCAGTTTCCTTTTAGGTTGTCTTTTTCTTATTGAGCTATAGAAATTATTTACATTTTTTACACATAAATATTTTATTAAATATACTACTCAGTAAGAATTATAATAAAGATTATAAAGGCATGCAAATATCATAAATATATCCCTGTACATTTCTTCTAAAGATGTACAAGTTCTGCTTTTTAACATTTAGGTCATGGAATTATTATGTATTACATGAGATAAAGACTCAATGTTATTTTTTTGTTTGTTTTCAAATGGAAAAACAACTTTCTAGTACCATTTATTGACTGATTCGTCTTTCTCCACAGATTTGTAATGGCATTTCTCTCATGAATATAGTGTCCATATAGGTATGGACATGTTTCTGAGATTTCTCTTCTTTTCTGTTGTTTATATATCCCTGCATTAATTCCAAAGCCACGATTACTACAGCTATATAATAAGCATAATTAATAGTATTTTCAGGATTATTCAGTCAAAGACAATTTTTAATTCCCATTATGACTTTTCTTTTTCTTTATGTAGGAGATACCATGAAGTGTTTTTGTATTTCCAAATATGTTGGTTTCCTTAATTATATTTTTGTCATTGATGTTTAATCTTATTGCATTTTAATAAGAGACTATGTTCTGAAGATACCATTTCAAATTTATTAAAAACATCTTTGGAAATAATAGTAATTCAGTCCATTGACATTTAACGTGATCACTAATATATCGGACATATCCCCAGGCTATATTGTTTTTAGCAGTGACAATTAAAATTATGAAGATAGAAGGGATCACTTGTATAGATGTGTCATGATTAACTTATGAAAATAAAGAAGAAAAAACTCTAGAAAATTTTTTAAAAAATGAACCACTGAAGAACACAAATACACACACACACAGAATAGCAGGAAAGAAAAATACCAAACTAAGAAAAAAGAAAATTTAAGGAGCATGTAGTATTTCAAGTCATCACTTGTGTAATGTCTGTTAACGTCCCATTGGCCAAAGCAAGTCACATGGCTGAACTTAGTGACAAGTATTATAGCAAGTCACCCCACTCTCAGTGGAAGGGCATTATAAAGTTAAATGGAAAAAGATGTGGATATAAAAAGGGGTAAAAGAATGGGGGCCATGACTGCAACCTATCACACTAGCCCTCGTAAGAGAAAATTAAAGATTTTTGTGAATGAATAGTTTGAGAACATCTGAAACTTTACTTCATCATGTGACTCTAATGAAAGTTACATGGGTCTAACATCAGGGAAACAGGTTGGTTTTAAGTCAGTAAATATAACTGTAATACACAACTGTATTGTACCTAAATGAAGAGAAAGACTGCAAGCACAAACAGGATATTCAGCTTAGAGCAGTGGTTTACAAAGTGGGGTATGTACATCCTTTTAGCTGTAAGAAGAAAATATAGAATCTTTACCTTTAAATAGAATTGTCATCTAAATATAAGAAGTAAGTGAAGCTTTGCCAATAGATAATATAAAGAGTGATATTGGCGGAGTGCCTGGGTGGCTCAGTCATTAAGTGTCTGCTTTCAGCTCAGCTCATGATCCCAGGGTCCTGGGATCGAGTCCCGCATTGGGCTCCCTGCTCGGCGGGAAGCCTGCTTCTCCCTCTCCCACTCCCCCTGTTTGTGTTTCCTCTCTCGCTGTGTCTCTCTCTGTCAAATAAATAATTAAGATCTTTAAAAAAAAAAAAAAAGAATGATATTGGCTCTCTCACCCTGCCCATAAGTCAATGCTGGTCATATAGGTAAGCCATTCTATGGGAAGAGAAGACACAACAGGAATGGTCAAGTGATGTCTCCTCCATTTGCTCTCAGTGTTTCGTGATTTGGAATCAGGTGAATTTTCAAGTTACAGTATTTAGTTTTGATTAAACTAACTCTAACACAAATAGACAAATGGCTTCAAAAGATCATTGTTCGACGACGGCA